AAACTGTAGCCCAGTGCTCAGGGATGCAAGGGACAGACTCAGCTTGGGTCTGTCCATGCCAGCCATGGGCTGGTGACTTCAGCTGAATAATAGGAATTATTATTAATTAGGTACAGTTTGGTGCTGCAGGGTCTGTGGCACTGGCTCTTTGTGCCAGGCTGAGCCACCTCAGCTTTGGAGTGAGCTGTGCCTCACATTCCCTGGCACCCACCCGTCCAGCAGGGACCTGCCGCCTTCAGCACCAGGGGATCCCGTGGCAGCTGAAAAAAACAGCAGTGCCTGGGCCATGCTGGGATTACATCCAGTCCTGACTTTGCTGAGACTCCTCCATCCCCTCGGAAGGGAGAGCTGTGTCTCTGCCACCTCCTCCACAGGCTGGATCTGTTTCCACAGCCTGTGGTCACTGGCTCGGTGTGGCAAGGGGAGAGGCCCTGGAGGCCGCGCGTGCCGCAGTCCCCTCAGCCAGCTGTTCCTAACCAGGAGCTGTAGAATCTCTCTTTGGAGCTACAGATGTCTCTTTGACACCCTACTGACACAATTCTTCAAGAGAGCTGCTCCCAAACCTTGAAAGGTTAAGGTGGTTCACACTTCTCCTGTGAAAACATCTGTGGATACTCAGCTTGGTGGGCTGTGCTTTCACACCCTGATACACCACTGTTCACTGCTCTGAACCTGCTCTCTGTGTTTGCATGAATGCATCCCCCAAACCTGGAAGTCCATCGTATTTCCAGCATCTCTTGTGTGGAGGGAAGTTATCCACAGTGTCCTGCTCTTCTGGGTGCTTGTAGCTCTGCAGAACTGGTTGCAGCATCATTGAAAGGTGGCCAGTGCTTGGTGTTCCCAGCATCCAAAGGGTATTTCCTGGATTTACTCCCCAAACATTGCCATTTTGCCGTTGATCGTGTGTGCATCCCTAGAGTTTGAGGTGGTTTGGATCTGTTGATGGGTGGCCATGGCAGAGGTGCAGCCTCCTGGCCTCTCTGCTTCCTCTGTGCAGCCACTGAGCACCAGGTCTGTGACCAACCCTGCTCCAGGACCAGCTCTGCTCTCCCAGCCACCAGCACAGCATGGAGCTGCTTCGTCTAGCCAGCACCTGGGGTGGGTGAGACATTCCCAGTTCAGCCTTAACCCTTGTGTGTCTGCAGTGCAGCCCAGTCTCCTGCAGATCCCTGTCCCAGACCTTCAGGAGGATTACCAGCCCTGGTTTGGGGTTTTGGGGGAGCCCACGGCTGTCCTTGCATGCCCTGCCCGCAGTGCCCCGGGCTGTGGCAGCCTCGTGGCACCAGCACAGCAGCTCCAGCAGCCCCTGGCCAAGCCCATCCCACAGCACACAGTGTCCAGCTGGCTGAAGGAGCAGGAGGGTCCCTGGGGGGCTCCCAGGGGCTTCCCTCCCCGCAGGGTGGCTTTCATCTGCTGCTTCACAGATGTTGGCTTTGGCTCGTGTCTGACATGCATCAATTACAGAGCAACAGCCCCAAGTCTTTGGCAAAATCAACTTTGGAGCAGCTGTCCTGAGTCAGCCGTGCCCGAGCTGGAGCTCTGGCTCTGTCCCTGCTTGGTGCACTGCTGCCCTGCCCATCTCCACATCTCCTGTGCCCACGTGGAGAGGGTTTCCCTGGCAGGGAAGGTCTAAATGTGGCACAAGCACTTGTTCCCTTGTGCTTGATGTTTGTCCAGGAACACTTTAGTGGGAGAGCTGCAGGCTCTGAGCTCTCTGCCCTGTCAGTGAAGTGATGGCCCCTTGTGTGAGGGACAGCAGTTGGGTTAAGGTGACAGTGGGGAATCATGTGAGGTCTGGTCCTGCTCTTGCCAGGGACTCGGTGGCAGTCAGGGATTTCAGACAGTAATGGGGTGTCTGTTAACCCATCCCTGACCCAGAAGGGTCACCTTGGTGACACTGGCTCTGACAGCACCACAGGTTTGTCATCATCCCCTCAGAGCACAGCAGGTCACACAAATCCAGGATGTGCCCATGATGCATCCCAGGCATCCACTGCTCTGCTGCAATTTATTTCTAAGACCTTTATTTTTTAGACAAGTGACTCCTGGGAGTGCTCCTAGCACAGCATCCCTGTGTGCCACCGAGTGGTCCTGTGCTTTGGCTGCGCCCTCCTTCTGCTGGCACAAACCCCTTGGAGCCGAGTGTGATACTAGAGTTTTTGCTAAGAAAAGACCATCTCAGTGCTGGGAAGCTGAAAAAAAAATTAAAATTACACATTTGAGTTGTGGCATTTCCCTTGGGAGAGTGCTGGTGCTGCTGGGGCATTGTTGGCTTTGCATCCCTGCTGTCCTGCAGAAACTCCTAGCTGCAATATACTGATTTTATTGTTATTTTATCCCAGTCAGGACCTTACCTGCACCTTACCTGGCCAGTGTCCCAGTTTGCTGTCCCATCCTTGGGGCTGTCCCCTACACAAAGTGCTGCCTGGAGGAGTTAAACCCATTGCATAACCCAGTGTTGCTGCTGGTGGCAGCATATTTTCCACATGATTAAGTTGTCATTTTGTTGGGGTTATTTTTACTGTTATGCAGGGAGTTTTTTGCTACTTTTGGCCTTGCCATTTTGGAACGGAGCTAATTTGGGGTTTGTGATGAGGCCTCACACTGGGCTGGTTGACTTTGTGAGGGGCAGCATGGCAATGCAGATCCAGCTGTGCAGGATTCCTGTTTACCATGGCAGTGCAGTTCCAGCTGTGCAGGATTCCTGGGAGGAGTGGGATGCTCCCATGGCAGTGCAGATCCAGCTGTGCAGGGTTCCTGCTCCCATGGCAGTGCAGATCCAGCTGTGCGGGTTCCTGCTCCCATGGCAGTGCAGATCCAGATGTGCAGGGTTCCTGCTCCCATGGCAGTGCAGATCCAGATGTGCAGGGTTCCCAGGAGGAGTGGGATGCTCCCATGTCTCTCAGGGATAGCATGTTTGTTCTCTAGAAGCTCTGTGAGTAATGCTCAGCTGCACAGCTGGGACTGGGGGTTGGAAAAAAGTGTTCAAAGTGACCCAGCAGTCTTTGGGATTAGCTCTAGGTTTGTTTTTAATTTCCTTTTTTTTTTTTTTTTTCTGCTTGGCCTATATTAAGCATGTAAGTGTGCTGTGCTTGCAGGAATAGTGTGGTTCCACCTCACAGACCCCAGCGGGGTCCAGTCTGAGACAGCCAGAGGAAAAAGGGTGATGGGTTTGTGTTTGGAGAAGCCCCTTTGGCCCAAGAAAGAGAGAGGGAGAGAAGAGCAGGCAACCCATCATCAAAGGCCAGGAATAAGTGGGGTGAGATGAGCTCAGAGCTGTGTTGCTGTCTGGAGGGGTGAGGACTTTGCAAATAATAATGTTTTTATTCATAACAATAAATGATTAAAGAATAATAAATAATCATTGCAAAACACTGAGCAACAACAAAATGCTCACTTAGGCTGGTGGCTGCAGGGACCCGGGCAGTGAGCAGCAGCAGCCTGGGGTGGGGAGGGCTCTTAGAAGTGTGTTTTCCTAAAACCTCCCTCTGTGCCTGCATCACAGGAGCGTGCTGCATGTGGCTGATGCCTCCAGGAGCTTGGAGGGGACTGGGCTGATCTTGTGCTCACTCTGCCTTTGGGATATTTGCTGTGGGTGATGCAGAGCAGCTGGGGCTGGCAGGGGGCAAGGCCACATCACCCTGGGGCACTTGGGGCGCTTGTCCTTCCCAGCAGCCAATGATCCTGCCAAGGAATAGATAATCCCTGTTTTTTCTTAAAAAGCTGTTGGCTGAGGCAGTAGTTTTAAATTTGCTTGTCCTGAAGGACTTTGTTAGGCTGGAGCATCTTGCAGGGGAGACAGGCAGCCTGTCTCAGAGGGAAGCTGAGGGGTTTGGGTTTCTGAGCAGATATGGACAGAATGAGAGCGAGACCACAGAAGCTCCGTGGCTGCGTGGGTGTTGTCTGGCACAGCTTGTCTTGATGCAAATGTGTTGGGTTTTCCACAAGCCAGGGCCGGCAGCCTCTGATCTGCGTCAGCTGGAGCTCGAGGAGGGCACGTGGCAGTGGATGCCAAGGACTCCCTGTGTCTGCAGAGCCAGCCAGCTCCCCCCAGAACCGAGCTGTTCACACCAGCAGCGTGCAAAGGGCTGTGATTCCAGTGCTGTGGAGGAGTGTAGGGCTGCCAGCCTTTAGCAGCATTGCCTGGGCATGGGGCTGTGGGGTTGTCGTAGGTTAAGAAGGAAGTGAGTTTTTTTGGGAAGTTGTGATCAAAGCCTTTGTCACTCCCAGACATGGGCTGGGGACTTTTTGGGTGCTGGGTCCTGCTCTGTGGCAGCAGTGGGACCTGGTGTGCTCACACCCCCACAGCAGCATGTCTTTGCTGTGCCAGGTTTGGTGGAGTGGGCAGGGACCAAGTATAAACAGTAAATAGAGAAATAAAATCCCAAATTTAATGTAATTATTGTGGAGGAAGATCCCACACTCCTCCTCCCTCCCAGCCTGCTGGTACCATGAGTCTCTGCACGTGCTTTACTCCTGCTTTGGATACAGCAGGCAGCTCCTGTGATTGCCAGGAGTGATGCTTTGTGAAGGCTGACCTAGAACAGAGGCTGGACAGAGTTAAACAATAAAGTAGGGATTTATTAGAAGGTTTTAATGGCTCCAACTTGGGCAGCACAAGAGCCTGGCCAAGGCTACACCCCAGATGAACCCTAAATGCGCGACTGGTCATGGGGTCTCACACTTTTGTAAGTTCTGCTCCATTTGCATATTGGAGTTAATTGTCCAATTACAGCTTTAGCTCATCAAGTCCCATCCTTCTTGTTTTTAACTCTTCAGTCCACGTTATTTGTGCTCTTGGGCTGAGATTTGGATCATTTGTCCTTGGTGCCCAGCTGGAGCAGGAATTGTTTTGTCTCCCTGCTCTGTGCACAGAGCTCACCATCCCCTGATGTGAACCCAGACCCACACACTAAAGCAGCACAGAATCTGAAAAACACAAAAGCCAAACCCTGGGGCATCGGGAGCAGCAGGTCTGAGCAGGCTGTGTGTCCCCCCAGGTGCAGAGGCCGTTCCCAGCCACGCTCCCGCCATGACGGACGCTCCGCGGGATGCCGGCCCCAAGCAGGCGGCGCCGGCGCGGCCGGACAAGCCGGCTGCGGACTTCGGCTACGTGGGCATCGACGCCATCCTGGAGCAGCTGAGGAGGAAAGCCATGAAACAGGGCTTCGAGTTCAACATCATGGTTGTGGGTGAGTTGTTCCCCCCGGGCCTGCAGCGTGCTCAGCCCGGTGTTGTCATTGTGCCACCACAATTTGTTTGTCCCCTTCGGAGCCTCCTCGGGAGCAGCGCTGGGGGCTCTGCCTTGGCAGTCAGCAAACCCTGCTCCTGAGGAGCTGGCCTGGGGTCAGCTGAGGTTAAAGCTGTCCATGTGATGTTGTACTCATCCTCCTGCATCTTGGGGTGCCTTGTCCATAGGCTCATCCCAGAGGAAAGCACCTCAAGGGGTGCCAGGGCTCACAAGAGCTCCCCTGACAGCTCTTCTGGAAGTCCTGCCCTGGTTTGAGCAGTCAGAATGCACATTTAAGGGCTCAAGTGGCTGCACTGCTGCTGGTATTCCAGAACCCTCATTCCTGCTGGTACCTCCAGCAGTTTGGGTAAAATTCCTGTTTGTGATTTTTTTTTTTTTCGGGCAGCCCTGCTACAAGTACTGGGGAAAAAATGCCAAATGTAGTGATTTACTGATGGAAATAAAGAGCAGCAGGAGGGGTTTGCATAGTTCTCTCATTTGGCTCCTTTGGGGACATGCAGGGTGGCACAGCAGGGATGAGGGTGTCCCAGGAGTGCCCACAGGCAAGGAGGGAGGGCTGTGTGCCCAAATCCTGTTGCCCACAAGCTCCTGCTCGTTAGCTCTCCCGGGCTAATGACCACGGGCTGCATCAGCTTCACCTCTGGGGATCTGTGCTCCTGCAGCCCCCAGGCCCCCAAAGCCAGGGATGGCACAGCCACTGACCTGCAAAATTCTGGGGTGCTGGGCAGACACTGTGGGACACCAGCCAAGGGGAAAGGGGAAAAGAAATGAGGCTTTTCTGCTCTTTTCCAGCTATTAATGTCTGACCTGGTGCTGTGGAGCCCCTGTGTGAGCTGGGCTGTGCTCCTTGGGGCTGGGCTGCTCAGGTAGCAGCTCTCCCTGCCTGTGTCTGGGCTAATGACCACTGGCTGCATCACTGCTGCTCTGGCTGCAGCTTCACCTCTGGGGATCTGTGCTCCTGCAGCCCCCAGGCCCCCAAAGCCAGGGATGGCACAGCCACTGCCCTGCAAAATTCTGGGGTGCTGGGCAGACACTGTGGGACACCAGCCAAGGGGAAAGGGGAAAAGAAATGAGGCTTTTCTGCTCTTTTCCAGCTATTAATGTCTGACCTGGTGCTGTGGAGCCCCTGTGTGAGCTGGGCTGTGCTCCTTGGGGCTGGGCTGCTCAGGTAGCAGCTCTCCCTGCCTGTGTCTGCCAGGGAGCTGCAGGGGTGAGGGGAGTAAATCCCAGGCAGTGACCAGGGGTGTGGTGATGGGGCCTCACCATCCCTTATCCCTGGGAGGAGCTGTGGAAGGCTACAGGTGTGATGCCTGTGGGATGTCCCACAGGGCATCCTGGAGGTCTGCCTGGGGTTGTGGAAAGGTCTGATGCAGAGTTTTTGCTAATTCTGTTGTCTGCTGGAGCTTTCCAGCAGGGTCTGTGGATGCTCAGCCTTTCCCATTCTGATACTTTCATTCCCTCTGTGGGGAAGGTTCCTGAGCTGGGTGTTAGAACCCTGGATGCTGAGAATTTTAGACTTTCTGTGTTAAAAGGCACAGACACTCAAAAGAACACTACATTTGACCTGAGGCCGTGGAGAAAGCTTCCAAAAAACCAGAACCACTTCTTGGGAGGCATTTTAACAAATCCAGTTCTTTGCTGCAAACAGAGGAATCTGCACTGGTCCTGGGAGCCTGAAAGAGAGATGACCTGTGCTGAGCTCCCATTTCCCTGCTGGAGGAGGCTCCCACCCCTCCAGGAGCAGGCAGTGCTGCCTCAGCTCCTCAGCAGTGTGCTGTGCAGACGGGGAGGGATGCTCAGGAGCAGCTTTGCCTTGGCAGCACTGTGTGTGGTATGGAGGCCCTTGCTGCAGCGCGCCTGGAAAACATTGTTCTGCCCTTGGCAGGAGCTGGGCTGGCTGTTTACAGGCTGGGAATTCAGGGCAGCATAAACAAGTCGAGCTCTGGCCCTCCCAGAAGATGCAGGAGGAGCAGCACCTCGGGGAAGGGGCAGCAGCCAGCCCTCATCCTGCTGTGCCTCCCTAGGGATGGGGTCAGCTCCCTTACACCCATCCAGCTGTGAGTCCTTGGGTTGGGATTGTTCCAGTCTCTGGCTTACAGGAGGGAGGTGACTTGTCCTGCAGGGGAGCTGGGAGCTGAGCCTCGCTGCCATGTGGGTGTCACTCCTCACCTGTCCCTGTGATGGAGCTTTCTGAAAACCCTTTCCCCACTGTAGCAAGGTCCCCATTCAAAGGGGTTCCACAATCCCAACCAGACCTGCAGGCTATGGTCAGCTTAGTCCCTTGTCCTCTCAGGTTACAGAGATGAAGAGGAATGTCTAAACTTTTAAAAATCCCAACCCCAAAGCACATCTTTTGCATTCAGTTTTCTGTGCAAAGCAGCTGGAAGGAGGGCAGAGGTGGCCAGGCTCAGCTGTGATTTTCCCACTGGATTTCAGTTGTGGGAAAGGCAGTGGGCTGCAAACCAGGGCTGATGGAAGGGAGCTCTGCCCTGTGCTCAGCTGCCTGTGTCACAGCCTTAGGGCTCTGCAAGGTCATCCTGTGGCTCTGGTGCCAATGGGACATCACATCCTGGCTGCTGGTGGCTCTCACCTCTGGTCCCTTTCCAGGCAGTCCAGCTGCAGCAGCTTGGACAGACACAGAGACGCACTGCCTGGAGCTCTGGCAGTGTGTCACCCTGATTTCACCTGTCCCCAGAGTGTCACCCTGATTTCACCTGTCCCCAGTGTGTCACAGAGCCTTCCCCTCTCCCCAGGTGCTCCATTGGGCAGTGTTTCTTACAGCCCCACAGTGACGGTGACAGTCAAAGAGAGTTTTCCTGTGCTGGATTGCAGCCATTGGTGATGTTGCAAACCCAGCTCTAAAACTGGGGTGATGCCAGGAGGTGATGCTGGTTGGTCCTACCATTGATTTTGGCAGCCTGGATGGGCCAGGACCCTGAAGGATGTGGGTGAAAGCCTTGCTGACTCTGCTTAGGGACACTGTGGGACAAGGGGTGTGCTGGTGGCAGTGCCATGATAGTTGGCTGTAACATGTCTTGGCAGAACGGGGTCCCCATGGTGTGTGCAGGATCTCTGCAGTGTTTGCAGGATGCCCTGGATTTTCAGGAGTTAATTTTTTTCTGCTCCCTGGGTTTTGAAGAGTTAATTCTGTTTTCTGTACTCTGGAAAAATTGTTCTCCAAGCTCATGGGACAGCTGTTCCTGGAGAGTCAGGAGCTGCTGCTGCCCTTTCCACACAGATCAGCATCAGCTCTGGGATATAAAGCATGAAAACACTTTTTAAAAGATGTTTTTCTAAAGTTGTGGAATCTCACATGCTTCTTGGGCTGTTGTTTGTGGGATTCAGAGAAGCTCCTGGCGTGGACCTGTGTCAGAGCAGCCAGCTGGGCCAATTGCAGCAGCAAATCTGTCAGGGAAGCAGCAGCAGATGCAGCAGGCCTGAGGTTTGCAGGATTGTTGCTGCTGTTAGTCCTGTCCAGATAAAGGCTTGCCAAGCTCCTCCAAAGCCTTCCCTGTGGAACTGGACAGAGCAGACTGCAGGAGAGTGAAGGCACACTTGGAATGCTTTTTCCTGAGCTTCCCTGGTCCCCATGCCCTGCTGAGCATCACCACAGCCCTTCAAACTTCCCCAGCACTGTCTGCCTGTCCTTGGGGTGCTGGGATTTTGCCTCAGCTCTTGATTTTCTGCTTTGGAGCCAGGGAGGGGCTCTGCTACCTGCAGCATCCTCCTGGCTGGGCTGGACTGGAGCTCCTTGGCTCAGGGGAGCTGCAGGGGAGCAGCTGCTCCTCGTCCCTCCCTTCCTCCCTCCATCCCTCTGGCAGATCCAGTGCAGGCTGAGCCTGTCAGCAGCCCCATCCCCTGGCCCCTGACAGAACAGGGAGTGCTGACTCTGGGTTATCCTGCTCTCTTCCAGGTCAGAGTGGCTTGGGGAAATCCACGTTAATCAACACTCTCTTCAAATCCAAGATCAGCCGGAAATCTGTACAGCCAACTGCTGAGGAGAGGATCCCCAAGACCATTGAAATCAAATCCATCACTCACGGTGAGGCCCTGCAGGTCCCACCTGCTGCTTTGGCTTTAGGTCCTGCTCTGCCTCTGGGGACTCACAGAGTTTTGGACCTCCATAAACCTCCACTCTTATCTCTCTAAATGGGATTTTACCATCCAGAGATGCTTGCAGGGCTGAGAAAACATCTGGTTTTTATTTATTCATCAGCATTGAGTTGGAAGGAACCAGTGAGGTGGTTGGGAGTGGTATTTCAGGGTGGAAATGGGGCTGGATCCCTTTGCATGGCTGATTTGTGCCTCTGAGGAGCTGTGAAGGTGCATTTCTCCCCTGGGACCAAGCTCCAGCCCTGCAGCTGATTTTGGGAGGGTGGGCTTGGCCAGAGCACCCATCAACAGTGGCCTCACACACAGCTTTCCTCTCTTTCAGAGATTGAGGAGAAGGGGGTGCGCATGAAGCTGACAGTCATCGACACGCCGGGCTTTGGGGACCACATCAACAACGAGAACTGGTGAGCTGCCCCTTGGGTGCAGGGGGAGGCCAGGGGAGCCCCAGCACAGCCTGACCCCGTGGCCAGGGCTGGGGCCTGGTGCTGTGCCCCCCTCTGCGTGGGCAGCAGGAAGGAGGTTGTTGTGGTGGCAGAGCAGTGCCATGCTCCCCGTGAGAGCCACAAACATCCTGCTGTTCCAGGCATGAGACAACCTTTGTTTGTGGCTGGGAGCAGCTGTGTGCCAGCAGGGCCAGTCCCCACACCCTGCTCATGTGGCTCTGGAGGCTGAACTCTGCCTGGGATCCCTGGCACAGTGTCTGGCTCTGTGGGATGGCCCCCAGGCTGGCAGAAGTGGCCCATGGCAGGGACCTTGTCCCCACCATCAGCTGGGCTTGAGGGCTTTGATTCTGCTCTTGTTCCTGTGCTGTGGCACCCTGCAAGGAGCCAGGGCATGGTCCCAGTGCTGCTGCTCCACAGCCAGGTCCAGGAGGAGAGAAGGGAGCACTTTTTAGGCATTTGCTTGTCTAAAGCAGCCAGTAAATCCCCTCCTTCAGCAGTGTGTGGAGCTGCTAAGCAGTGAACACCTGAGGTGTGTGATTTAGGAGATGCTGAGCATCCCAGGCTCTGCAGGCTCTGCTTCACACAGAAGGTCAGGGTGGCCCAGGTCCCTCACACCATCCTGTGTTTTTCTCTCTGCAGCTGGCAGCCCATCATGAAGTTCATCAACGACCAGTATGAGAAGTACCTGCAGGAGGAGATCAACATCAACAGGAAGAAGCAGATCCCTGACACACGGGTGCACTGCTGTATTTATTTCATCCCAGCCACGGGCCACTCGTACGTACCCCGCTGACCCTGCTCCCCTCAGCCTTTCCTCTCCATGTCCCAGCAGCTCAGCCCTCAGGGCACTTCTGCCCAGGATCCTCCTGTGGTTTTTGGGGCTTGAGGAGCTCGAGGACAGCTTGAAGGCATCCTCAGGGCTGTCTCATCTGGAGGTCTTGCAATAACACAGCAGAGCTGCTGTTCCCCAGAGAAATGTGGTGTTTCTTCTTCTGAAAGGCCGTGAAATCCTCTCTGAGCTCCAGGGAGCTGCTGCCTTTGCTGTGGTCACCTGGCTGTTTGACCAAGGATGGACACAGATCTCAAATTGGATAGAGAGGCTACTTTTTCAAGCAGAACATTATTAATTTTTTTTTCTTTGTCCCTGACATTGTAAGGGGAGAAGCCAGTTTTCCTTGTGCTTCCAAGGCAGTGAACAGCCTCACCCCATAAGGGTATTTTGTAGGTTGTTTGACTAGTCTGCAAGAGGGATGCTGTTTATTCAGCCCAGAGTTCTCCTGGCTCTGGCACTTCTCAAGTGACAACATCAAAAGGCCCAGATCTTGCTCTGTTTTTTTCCCTTTCTAGTTTTTTTCCCCCTCCTCCTAGGCACACAGCCCACCCTGAAAATCTGGGGCACTTAAAATGTCTTGAAAAATGTGACTTAAAGTATCACAACAGAAAACGAGACCTAAGTTTCCTTTTGATTTGTGTCAATTCCTTCCACTTCTGGCTCTGTCTGCATTGGGGATGTTTTTGGGTCTGTTTTCAAAAGTAAGCTTAAGCCTCCAGCACTGCATTAATGTCAGCCTTTTCCACTTCCCCATGTGGAGATTTATTCCAATAGAAAAGACTTTGTTTTGCTTCTGTCAGTGGGTAGACCAAAAATGCATCCTTCACTGGAATAAAATGACTGCATGGGCCAGTAATGCCCCTCTTGTGTAACTGATCAGGAGCAGAGGGGCTGATGAAACATTTATGGTCGAATACAATAAAACAGAGACGCTTTCAAAGGGAAATGACATTTTTAGGCCAGTCTAACGTGTTGGTCCCACTAATCTCAGCCTAGATCTGCAGCCCCTGCCTCGGCAGGTCTGACTTGCAGCTTTAGCTGTGCTCCAGCTTTTCCTCGCCCCTCTGGCTGTTTAACTCTTGAAGAGCACATCTGATGCTCAGAGGGGTGTGCTGGTGCCTGGTGTGCAGGCAGGGCTGTGAGCCCCGTTCCGTGTCCCCCGGCGGAGCCTCTCCAGCCGCGCTCTGCTTTCTCTCACCCGCCGGCCAACAGCAATTGTGTGGATTTGCAGCTGCCTTCTTTCCTTCTCTCCAGTGAACATGTGTTTCCAATATCCGAGCGAGCCCGGCAGTTGGGGGCTGTTGTTGCTGAGCCCTGTGCTGATCCCCTTCCCCTGCAGGCTGAGAGCCTGGCTGGGCTGTCCCTGCTGTCACCGGCTCACCCGTCCCCTCCTGCCACCTGAGGGGCAAACCCCACCAGGAGGGGGAGGTTGATGGGAAATTTTGCTTCTCTGAGAGCTCAAGCAGGCATTGGGGTTCCTTTCTGCTCTCTTGTAAAGTCCAAATCATGTTTTTCATCATCATGGACAGGATTTCCCCACCAAAGGGTGATGTGGCCACCCCTCCTGCAGGGTGGAGCTGCTGTGACAGTGCTGTAGCAGAGGATCCTGTGGGGGAGCCTTGTCCTGGGGTTGTCACACACAGCTGGGTGACAACCCCTCCTTGTCCTGAGGTTGTCACACACAGCTGGGTGCAGGTTTGTGCCCTGGCTGAGGCAGCAGGTCCGTGGTCTTTTGCAGCAGAGTATGGGAAGGGCATTGAGGTCCTTGCAGTGGTGCCTCTGTGTTCTCCAGGGGTGACTGGGAGGATGGCAGTGGCTGGAGGGACCTGCACTGGGGACATTGTCACCCAGCCCCAGCATGGCACCATCCACATGCTGCTCTCCCCATCCCAGGTGCTTGGTGTTGCCCTCCTGGGATGTGCCTGCACAGGGTGCTGGCTGGTGATGTGGGTGGGCATGGCACAGGGCTCCCTGTGCAGCTGGGTTAAGCCTGCCAGGGCACTGGGTGAGAGCTTGCTTTTTGCTAGATAAAAAAGAGTGAGGCATAAAAGAAAAAGCAAAGTTGGTGCAGAGATCTGGAGGCCAGAGCAGAGGATTGCTTGGCTCAGTTTCAGTCTGGCCCTCCCATCCAGGCAGCTGCAGGGTTAATCAGCAGAGAAGTTTCTGCTGCATGAGTGTGGAGCCTCTGTTCTCCAGGGGTGACTTTGCAGCCCATGCAGGTCACACACAGCCTCTAACACTCCCATGTACCCGTGCCTGTGAAGGCTGAGGATGGTGCTGGCTGGGGCTGCCAGCTGCACAGGCCAGGCCCTGCCACCCAATAAATATCCCTGCTCTGACCCCTGCAAAGCTCTGCTCAGCTCAGGAATGGCTCTGGAACTCTGCCTGGCCTCATCAGCACCTCTCCTGCCTCTGCCAGGGCTGGTGGTGCCACCCACTCCCTCTTTCCCTCTGGCTGCCCCTCTCAGGTGCCCTGGAGCAGGTGATGGGGCTGGGCAGCTGCTGGGTCCTCACTGGTGTTTGCTTAACACACAGCTCAAATTCCTGCTGTTAGTTTGGTCTGGGGCACAACCAAAAGGAAATAACTCCACAGCTCACTGTGGATTTTGATTCCTGTAACAGCATTTCAGAGGAACCAGCAGGAGCGAGTCTGTGCTTAGATCCTGTCTGTGTACAGTGGCAGAAATAAAAATGTGTGTCCTGGGCAGCACAGTGTGTGCCCAGCCCTGGCAAGGCATGCCCAGCTGCACAGCCTCCCCCAAGCCCATGGCAGGAGGGGATGAAGGAACAGCCAGCTCCACCTGGAGTGGTTTGAGGCCATGCTGCACCTCCTGCTCCAGCCCTTCCACTCCCCTTTGAGCTCCTCCAGCCCTCCCAGCAAAGCCCAAAATGTTTATGTGGTAAATTAATAATATCAGGGACCACTTGGGGAAGGGGAGGAAAATAGATTAGTTTTTTTTCTTGAGCCTTTCCTTCTGTGATGTGTTTGGAGCAAATAGCACTTGTCACCACCTTAATCCATAGTGTCTTCACATGGATGTGATGTGTAGCTACATTGTTCTTAGTGAAAAGGTTCACTTCCTTTTACATAATTAGGATTTTGGGGGAGCTACCTACCTAGCAGGAGTTGATAGAATATCTAGAAACTTGCAGAAAACCCTAAAAAAATACAGTTTGCTCTGCTGGGAAGTCTCAGGGTGGTGCAGGGAGGTGACCTCCGTGGATGAGGCACTGGCAGGAGCCCATGGGAGCAGAAAATTGTGTCAGGGTGCAGATGGACACATGGTCACTGTGCCTGGGGATGCTGCTGGACACAGCAGGGGTGTGGGCAGGCCCTGGCTCTGCCTCCTCTCCTGGCTCACTGTGGCATCCTCCGGATGTGAGAGGGATCTGAGGGATGGAACTGAGCTTTTAGCATGTAGATTGAGCTGAAACTCTGATGTCTGCCTGACTGTGGATTCATGCTCTGTATGCATCCTGGTCTTTAAAGGGAAAGCTGATGAAAGAGGCAGGAACACAGGCTCAGTGGGGAAGAAGCTTTTAGAGGAGAAAAATTGTTTGGAAAATAGCAAAGAGAGAGGAGGGGAAAGAATTCTGCTGGGAAAGGAGCATTACTGCATTACTTCCTTGGAGGTCTGGGAAATACATTATGCAGAGCTCCAAACAATGTTTGCCAGCAGCAAGTCAGCTTAGATGTGTCCATGGGGGGTTCCTTGTGGTTTTTTTCTATTCTTTTTTCCATTTAATAGCCAAAATCTCTCTTTCCTGGGGCCCAGGGTGATCTGTGACCCTGTGTTTGTGTTAGGACCTCATTTATCCCTGTGCTAATGACGTGCCCAGGGCTCTGTGTGTTGTTGGTGTGTGGGGACAGGATCCACCTGGCACAGTCCAGCTCCATCCCTGGGAGAGGGGATGACCAGGGCAGGGTTCAGCTGGGTCACCAGTGCTGGCTGCCCTGGGGCAGCCCTGAGCTGCTGTTTTCAGGTCAGCTGGAGCTGAGTGGTTCTCTCTGCAGCTGATTGTCCCTCCCTCAGCACTGGAACCAGGCAGAGATGTCCCCGTGGGATGGAAACACTGCCTGGTGGCTGCTGAGGGGCAGAATCAGTCCCTTCCCCTCTGCACTCCTGAGCCTGGCTCTGCAGGGAGACCATGGTGGGGTTTGGCTTGGCTGTGTTGGCACTGGGTGCTCTCTTGGCCCTTCAGTGAGGGCTCATTTCAAACACCTCCTGCCCAAAGGGGATCCTTGACCATGGGACCTCCAGGTTTCCTTTTCAAGGCAACACCTGCTCAACTGTGCAGCATGTCTCCATCACCTTCAGAGCCACCTGGAGGTGTCCCAGGGAGGGTTTTCTCCTGGTTTGGGACCCCCAGCAGTTAAAACACCTTCAGGGAGGACTGAGGAGCAGGGGGGGATGATGGCCAGGTGCCTTCATTGCTGTCTGCAGGCTTGGATGTGGAGCTGGCAGCAGGAGGGATTTCCTGAGGCGCTGATCACTGGGGTTATGCAATCCCTGCAGCTTTCCTCTGCTGAGACTTTGGTTGTAGAGATTTTCTGACATTCTTGCCCTCTGGAACAAGCAGCATCTCTTCTGTGCTCTGTGAGCCCCTGGAGAATGTCCAGAGCTTTTTTTAATCCCAGCTGATGAATGTGAGAGGCACTCCCAGCTTGTGCATAACCACAGATTTAGGGGTTGCTTAAAATAAACCCTTTCTTACAACCTTTTTGTGTGACCTTTTGAAAGAAATCTAGAGGCCAATATGAATCACAGATTGTTGTGTGACATTGGTGGAGAACTTAAAGGCTCCCTAAATCAAAAGCCTGTGCAAGCATATGATAAACCTTCAGCATCAAGTTTTCCAGATAAAGTACCTATATCACTTTGCACATGAATATTTTGCATAAAGATTAATTTGAATTTTATTGCTTTTGTACCACCAGTGTAACAGGTGCTTCCAAATACTCTGGGAGCAAATGATGAAGCAGATATTAAATGGGGTATGCAGAAATACTCCCAGTAAGTTGTCCCAAGCAACTGGTGCTCAACACAGAGCAGGGATGGTCACCTGTGGCCATCTCCACCTCGTGCTGTCCCTGGATGGTTGGTGACAGCTTGGATAGAGCTGGAGCAGGTTTTGATTTGTCCAGCATCGCCCTGCTCTCATCCCAGCTCCTGCAAGGACACCAGCAGCTCTGGGCAAGTTCCTGCAGTCCTCCGTGGCCCTGCAGAGATGAAAGCCCTCTGCCACTTCATGGGGCTTTGTGAGGGTTCACAGGCGATAGCGGCAGCTTTGAAAGGGAAATGTTTAAAGTGTTTTCAAGCCCTCTCTGCTCTGTTGTGCTTTTAAGAAAATGTCTTTACTCCGCCTATCTGAAAGGAAGTGATTCCCTCTCTGTCTGCTCTTTGAATGCCTCTCCCTGCCAGGGGATTGCAGCAGCAAATCCCCTTTTTCCTGCTGTTTTCCAAGAGTGCAAATCCCCTTTTTCCTGCTGTTTTCAAGTCCCTTTTTCCCTGCTGTTTTCCAGGCTCCGGCCGTTGGACATCGAGTTCATGAAGCGCCTGAGCAAAGTGGTCAACATCGTTCCGGTGATCGCCAAGGCCGACACGCTAACGCTGGAGGAGAGGGACTACTTCAAACAACGGGTAAGGGGCTGCTGCCCCTTCCCCGGGCTCCCCTCTGTGCTAGCCCATCCCCTGCCCCCCTCGTGCTCTCCTGGCAGGGCTGTGCAGGCAGGGCCTGGCCGCGAGCCCGGCGCATTCCTCCGGCTGCAGCTCGGAGCGATCCCGCGCGGCCGCAGGGTAGGCCTGCTCTCCAAGCACTTCCTTGTGTTTCTCTTGGATCTTTGTCAGTGCAGGATAAGTTTGGAGCTGCAGGCCTGTTTCTCCTTCCTCCTTTGTTGTTGTTGTTGTTATTTTCAGGCTGGTTTCTGTTATTTTGGGAGGTTGGTGCATGTAGGGGCTGGAAAAGCCTCCCTCTGCAGCGTCGTGCACTGATACAGGAACCAGTCAAAAACGTGTGGGTTTGCTGAGCTCAGCTGGGTGAGGTTTAAGAGGGAGGCAAGGTATGAAATTCCCGTGGTTGGGAGCTGAGGAGGGGCTGTCTGAATCCACAGCAAGGCGTGGGCTGTGCTCTGAGAGGTGGAGGTGGGTGGGGGTTTGGTAAGGGACTGTAAATCCGTTTGTGTGGGTGGTGGATGTGGCTGCAGGCGTGAGGGCCTCAGCATTCCCTGCAGAAGTAAAAACCACCAAGCCCCTTGATCCATGAGTCTGACCTGGGAGAAGTAAAGGGAAACAGAGTCTTGCCAAAAGGGTAGTTTCAGGGGCCACTCCTTTGGTTATGGACAGCTCAGCCAGGGGTGGTTTCATGGCCCCTTGCAGGAGAGGGTGAGCTGCTCCTTCCCACACCAGTGTGGGAGCCTCTCCTTCCCAGTTCTTAATGAGCAGTTCTTAATTAGGCACTGAAATACCCAGTCTGGTTTTGGGGGCTAATCCAAAATCTCCAAGGAATTTCCTTGGCTGGAGGCTGGCAGGGAATGGAGCTGAGGGGTGACCCAGGCTGGGGTGCCTTGGCTTGTCAGGCTGTTTGCACAGAGCTGTGCAAGGAGCTGGTGAGGGGACACGGAGGGGTGAGCCCATGGTGCCACATCTGCCCTCTGTGGTGGCTCCTGCAGGCTGCTGGCTCCATTCAGAGGTTACCTGTGGCTGCAGGTGACTGGCTGGCCCTGGCACTACAAAGTCAGTCTGGGACCTCAAATGTCACCTGGGCACCCTTGGCTGCTGATACCATGGGGACAGTGCCTGCCTCTGCTGCTCTGCACTGGCTCCGCTCACCCTGTCTCTGATTGCTTCCTGATTATAACCAGACCTCCCAAATCCTTTCAGATGGAGGGAGAACACGTAGCCACATGGTGTGTTTGCTCCCAGCAGATGAGAGGACAGGAAATCAGGCCAGCTGGGCACAGGCTGGGACCTTTTCCACTCATTCATTCCAGTGTGCCTGCCCTGTCTGCATCTGAGGTGTAGCTGGTTCAGGGAGATGACAGGTTTTGGGTTTGGATGGGGTGGGTAGGAGATGTGAAGCCCCAGCCTGGCTGCAGGTTGGTGCCAGTGCTGTGCTGAGGCAGTGGAATGTGCTCCCTGGAGTTGGCTTTGTTGGGTTGTTCGCCTAAACTCAGTGTGGAGTTTGCTGGGGGCTGGGAGCCAGCTGGGGACATCCCCTGGGTGAATCCACTGCTCTGCCAGCCTGCACTGTAGGACTGGTGTGCAGCTGTTGCCATAGGAAGTGCTGGGAGCTGCTGCCAGCCTGGGTTGGGGTTTGCAGCACTGTAGGAGAAAGTTGATCCTTCAAGCTCCCCCTGAGCTGAGTCTCCACCCAGGAATCAGATTCCAGCATCTCTTGGCCTTGCACACAGGCAAAGCCCTTACAGTCTGCCCATCCAAGCTGTGTCCTTGTCCCTCCAGATCAAGTTCCTTTTCCAAGGAGTGTAAACAAACGCCAGAGAGCAGCTTTTCACCTTTGTGTTACGAGCCTGGCAGCTGTGTTCCCCTTTGCTTGGGCACCTTGGGTTGTCTTGTTTGTCTTTCTCAAACCCTAAACAACACCCAGCTCATGTGACTTCATCCCACTCTCTGTCTGAGCTGTGTCTTGGCCCCAGATTCTTGCAGAGAACTGGTGGGCATCACTCAGAGACCCTTTAGGGAGCAGCTGCCGTGGTGGGAGTGCAGCTCCTGTGCCTGCCTGTCCTTCACCTGTGCCTCTGCTCTTCCCTCCTAGATAATGGCTGATCTGCTGGCCAACGGGATCGACGTGTACCCCCAGAAGGAGTTTGATGAGGACTCTGAAGATCGCCTGGTGAACGAGAAATTCCGGGTGAGTGCAGGGGCAGTGCCTGGGACAGACCCTGCAGCTCCAGGGCTGCCCACGGCCTGGGGGTTCCCTTCCAAAGGCCTCTGTTTTCTTCCCAAAGCTGCTGTGCCCTGTCCATGGGTCTGGGATCCTGCCAGAGCTCAGAGCAGGGGTGGGAAAGGTGGGGAAGGTGTCCTGTCCATGCTCCTTCCCCATCTCCATCCCTGGCCAGGGCAGCAACCTTCCCAGCACTGGGATGGAATTCCACCTGTAGGCTGCCTGCAGCTGGCAATTCCACGCTGCAGGAGTCAGCCAGCATTTTTTGGCACATTAAAGTGTATTGGACTAATGTGAGGAAGAAAAACATCTTTTAGGGACTCTGAAGTTCAAAGACACCAACTTGGATCAGGAAATGAGTTGGCCACAGGTTGCCAGATGCTGGGGGCAATTCCCAGGGAAACTTTGGGATACCTTTGCTCCAGGTGTACCTGGTGCCTGCCAGTGAGGGACTGGACCAGGCTGGGTTTGGGCTGGTTTTAGGCTGGGCACACGTGCAGGAGATGCTGGTACCCAGTCCTGGGCTGCCTGTGGGCCCTGGCAGGCAGCACTGCTCAGGAACATCAGGGGCAAACCAGCTCATCCCATGAAACCCCCCTGGAAACAGGAGGATGTAGGACTCTGCTCACTGGTTTGGTTTCCTGACCAGTTCTCAGAAGAAATCACAGCCTTGTTTTTCTCTTTCCACAGGAAATGATCCCATTTGCAGTGGTGGGCAGTGACCAGGAGTACCAGGTGAATGGAAGAAGAATCCTTGGGAGGAAGACCAAGTGGGGCACCATTGAAGGTACCTGAGCCCACCTCCCTGCCCTGGCAGAAGGCAATAATAAAGTCCAAAACCAGCAGTAGAAGTTGAGGTGGATGTGATGCTTCCCTGCCCCTCCAAAAAAAAAGATCATTTTCCTCATGTTTGAGGACTGGAAACACCTTGGCCATTGCTCCTGTGCTGGCTTCCTGGGCCTTTGTGTGTCCTGGGGGGCTGCTGAGTGCTAGGGGGACATTTCTGGGGGTCTTGTGGCCTGGCTTGTGCTTCTTGCACAGTTAATTTCCTGATGGCAGGATTTGAGAGCACACCAGTGACATCCCCATGTCTGAAGCCCCTGTTAGAACCTTCCCCTGGTATCTGTACCCCCCACCATGCCTTTGGTTGGTGCCTTGTGGGATCTCTTCCCTCTTCCATCTCCCAGCTGCATCTCCCTTTTTTCTCCCCCATTTTACAATCATGGTTTAAAGGCTGGATGAAAGCTCCTGGCTCCAGCACATCTACACATTTCCCTGTTGATGGTTTCTGGCAGCCAGCTGGCTCATCTCCAGTGCCACCCCTCTCATCTTCCTCCCCTTCACTTCACAGGTTCCTCTCATTTACGAGTCTTTTTAATAGGAATCCTGTGTTGAGGGATGGCTTAACAAAGCTGCCAGGAAAACCAGTGTATTTTGAAGCTCTGCTGCCCTCTCGTGCTGTATCCCTGAACATTCTGAGTTCAGTGGGATTCATTAAACCCTCACCTTCTACTTGTGAAGGCATCTGCCTCAGCACAGGAGACCCCCAGGACACAGCCATGGCCACAGGCAGCCTTTGCACAGCAGTCTTGTTTGTGTTTTGCCATTCCTGCATGATGTTTAGTCAATGAACTTAGAGATCTTCTCCAACACAAAGGATTCTGCTATTCTATGTACAGGATTTTTGGGATAAAAAAAATTCAAAAGGTGTTCTTCCTCTAAATTGAGTAAAACTAGGGGTAAAATATCAGCTGTCAGACTGATGGTGGTTGCTTTTTCCCTATTGCAAACACTCCTCCTCCTGCCAGCAGAGGCTTTGGCAGCAGGAGTTCCTGTCCTTGCACTGCCCTGGCAGCCCTCCCCAGCCTGCCTGGGATTCTGCAGGATGCTCATGGCTGAGCTCACTGCAAAGCTCACCATGGCCCTTCCCCTGTCTTGTTTGGGGTTCTGGGGGCTGTGCTGGGGGTGCTGCTGGGAGCTGCTCCTTGGTGGGACCGTGGGAAGGGCTGTGGGTGCTCAGTCAGACCTCACCAGGGCTGAGCTGGGGCAGGGACCTGGTGCCAGCCTCACAGCAGCAAGGAGGACTCCTGAGTCCTGCACAGAGCCCACATGAGCCCCCCACACTCTGGGGAAGCCCCCAGGTGCTGCTTGCCTCAGCTGGTGGCCAAGGGGGCTCACTGATGCTTTCTGTCTCTCTTGCCAGTGGAGAACACAACACACTGTGAGTTCGCCTACCTGCGGGACCTCCTCATCAGGTCAGTGCCCTGTCCCCAGAGCCTTTGGTCACCAGGTGGCATCCAGGGAAAGGGGACAGCCCAGCACAGCTTGAAGCAGCTGCTGCTTTGCTCTGCTGCTCCATCCCTCCACCCCTTCACCCCTCCATGCCTGCCTTCCCTCCCGGCCTGCTGCCACTCTGCAGCCCCTGTGCAAGGGGTGGCCCCATCCTTGGGGCTGGGTTCAGGGGGGAGAGGGGCAGTGGAGGGCTCAGGACACACTCCAGGGTTGCTGGTAGAGTGGCTCCAGCTCACCTGCAAGCAGCTTTTGGCCTTCTGGTCCCTCAGCAGTGCCAGATCTCACCCCAGTTCAAAGACATCACCCTTCACTGGGGTTTTGTTGTGGGGCTGGGTGAGGGCTGGTCCCTCTTGAAAGAAGTGTCCCTGCTGTGGGGGAGAGGGAGGCCGAGCCCCCTGGGCTTGCTAGAGGGGGCATTGGGCTCCTCCCCAGTTTGGCTGCAGGGTAAACTCTGCACACATGATCTGCTGCTGGCAGAGTCATGTGGGGCTACAAAAGCTCACCCCAGGTCTAGCAGGGTGGGGATCTCCCTGGGTGGGTGTTCTGCAGCCACAGCTTCTGTGTCCCCAGGCACAAGTGAAGGCTTCAGCTCCTGCTGTCCAACAATGCTGCCAATGATGGCCTTTGCTTCCCCCCTGTGCCCTAAAGGGGCATTAACCAGCAGGGCAGGAGGGGACATTGGGACTGGGGGGTGTTTGGGGTATTTGGGGTGATGAGGATCGGGGCGCAGAGTCTGGGCTGGTGTGATTGCCCCATCTCCCTTCCCTGCAGGACACACATGCAGAACATCAAGGATATTACCAGCAACATCCACTTTGAAGCCTACAGGGTGAAGAGGCTGAACGAGGGCCAGAGCTCTCTGTCCAACGGCGTGGCTGACAAAGAGCTGGTGGCCAACGAAATGTAACCGTCCCTCGCCGCAGCCAGGACCTCGCTCGCTCACGCTCGCTATTTCTCCCCTCTTCCCCCTTTATTTTTATATAAATCCTCTGCCACTGTCCCTCTTGCCCTGCTCCCTGACCCCCTGCCATGTTAACTGACCAAATAACCAGACGTGGGGCGGGGTGGCCGCTCTCCCCCTGCTTTGTGCCATGAGTTTTGTGCTCAGCCCCCAGAGCGGCGTCCCTGGCCCGGGATTGTCCCTCTGTGGAGGCTGGGCTCTCGCTTGCCCCACAGCCAAACCCAGGGGAGCAGATCTGTGGGGCCAGCAGGGTTGGGGTGCCCTGGGAGCCCCTGCAGCCCCTCCATGCAGGGGCTCCTCTCCGTCCATTGAAGGCGAGGGCTCCTCCAGGTGGTTGTAGCCTTCGGAAGCAAGGTACGGTGGGATGAGGAGAGCAAGCCAGTGCCATCCTTGTCTCCTGCAGCCCTCTGGGACCTGCCAGCCCCCAAACCAGCCCCTGTACCCTGTTTTCATGCAATAAACTGGGAGTGTTTAGGTGTCACCTCGCCTGTCACCGACCCCCGGCCAGGCAGAGCGACCTGCTTTGGGAGAAGTGCCTTTTCAGACTGTGACCTTGCAATAGTGTGGGAGAGGGGAGGGAGCTCTGCCTTGTCTGTCTGCAGCCTGCAGAAGGCTGTGAACCTCTACAGAGACTCTCCTTCCCTCTCCCTTGGGCCAGAGCTGTGGCTGATGTCCTGGGAACACTTGTGTATTTATTTGTCACTCAGCTGGGTGGGTCTTTGTCCTCTGAAGGCTCTGAGTGTGTTTGTCCTGAGGGGGCTGAGCGTGGAACTTCGTCTCTGCAAAGCAGTGGTGGGAGGCAGAGGGTTGTCCTGTCTGACCCTTGTGATTCTTGGCCTTTTCCCTACATCAGAGGAGGCTCTTGGGTGTCTGTAAATTCCTTTTCATTTCCTGGGTCCCCTGTGTGTCCAGGGAAGATGCTCCTGTTTTGCTGGTCCTTGTGCAGGGTGTCTGTGCATGTGCTGACCAAGCCCTGCAGCTGTGGGGGGGGCTGAGGGGTGTTTGTGGGTGCTGCTCCCCCTGCTCTGCCCCCAGACCCTTCTCTTTCTGTGTGTCTCCAATAAATCAGACCCTGCAAGCATTAGGTAGCACTGTGACACAGGAGCAGGGGTTCCTGGAGCAAAGCCCTGCAGTCCTGCCCTTCTCCCCAGCTCCCTTTGCCTTTCTGCTGTCCACCAGTCTCCCAATCCTCTCTAAGGGAACAAAACTTCCTGCAAATCACCCAATTTTGGGGGCACACACTGAAGTGGCAGCGTGTCCCATCCTCTAGCACTGGAAGGCACCTGCAGAGCCCACGGGGGCAGAGCCTGGCTCAGCACAGGAGGAGGGAGGAGGTTGCTCTCCCCTTGCTGGGGATGCCCAGGTTTTCAGGGGCTCCCCACACGTCCCCCCAGCAGCCAAAGGGGTGTGGGCAGGGGGGTGCATTGTGAGAATCCCTTCTGCCCTTCACCCACATCCCCCCTCCACAACAGCCCCACGGAGCTGTTGGGAACAGCAGCTCTCTACTTGCTGACTTGCTATATTTTAGCAAAAACGACAACAAAAAATGTATTAACTGAAAAAAAAAATATATATTTCAAGTGTTAAAAAAAGACTGAAAGGGGAGAAGAACCTCTTGTGTGAGGCACTTCTGCAAATTCCATCTTGAACTTATTTTTCCCTCTAGTTGGTATCTCAAGCTGGGCCAAGCAAGACACGCCGCTTTCTCCTTTGTAACCTTTTTTTTTCTTTTTTCTTTTTTCTTTTTTTTTTTTTTTTTTTTTTTGGTTTTTGTTTTTTTTTTTTTTTTTTTTTTTTTTTTTGTTTTGTTTTGGTTTTGTTTTTTTTTTTTTTTTTAAGGAGAAAAAAAAAATAATACAATAAAAAAAACCTTCATCCAGATCTATTAAAATGGCCTTTTGGGGGTTATAAGCATTATGAAAATTTAGTCCATTTTTGTATAAATAATAGTGTTTAATATGTATTTCCCAAAATAAATGTTTCGAATGCAAATAGAAGGAGGCTTATTTGGAAATGTCGAAAATAATACAATAAAAAAACCCTTCATCCAGATCTATTAAAATGGCCTTTTGGGGGTTATAAGCATTATGAAAATTTAGTCCATTTTTGTATAAATAATAGTGTTTAATATGTATTTCCCAAAATAAATGTTTCGAATGCAAATAGAAGGAGGCTTATTTGGAAATGTCTGTTGCCAGCTTTGGTGTAGTCATTGCTGCATGGATCCTGTAGGGCTGGGGGTGATGGGAGGGTCCAGCCCCAGAACTGCCCTGTTTAGGGTGAAAGAGAATTCCTGACCTCCTTGCCTCATCCCACTTCAGATACCTGGCCCAGGTACTCTATAAATGCTGGAGCTGATCCTGCTGAGCACCTTTGGGATGGAGCCCCAGTGCCAAAACCATCCCCATCAATACCTTATAATTTCTGAGCTGCACAGCAATTCTGTGCTTGCCTCACCCCAAATCCCCTCACCCCCACAGCTCACAAAGGATTCCAGGGTGAGAAGCACCAAAATCAAGGTGACCTCACTGCTGTAACCACAGCAAGACCCAGAACAAAAGCTCCTAGGGATGGATGGAGCAGGGAAAATCAACGTGTGGTTGTAGTAACTACAAACACAGGCCACGGGCCTTGCTCCTGGAGGAACCTACAGCAGTTTTCCCCATGTTGTGTTTTGTGTTTTTTCTTGTGCTGGGATTTGGGGGTTTTTTTTGCAGTTTTCCTGATTGTTGGTGTCTGAGCACATGAGGGTGATGGGACAGAGGATGCTCCAGGGAAGTGCTGGAATCTGAGTGTGCCCATGGAGGGACAGAGGATGCTCCAGGGCTCTCCAGGCAGATGCTGTCCTGGTGACACATTGAGAAATGGTTTGTGGATGGAGAGAAGGAAAAGCAGGCAAAATTCCCCAGCTCAGCAGTGAGGGCAGCTTTGTTTAGGCCTGAGGAGGAGCTCAAGGGGTCAGAGGTCCCTTCATGGGAACGGTGCAGGGAATGGCTTCCAGATGTTGGGAAGCTCCAGAGAGGTGGGGTTGGCAAAGGGAGAGCAGCAACACCAGATGCTCTGGTGGAACAGGGGCTTGTGTGAAAAATCCCAGCTGGGGGAAGGGCTGGCCATTGCAAAATTCCCCCTCTCTCCCCAGAGCCTTCCAGGAGGGAACTGGGAAGGGCTGGATGGGGAGGTTTGGGCAGAGGAGGGAGCTGCTCCCCCTGCCCACCCCCTCCAAGGGAAATGTGCCTCAGGATGCCTCGGCTGGCAGCAGGGACCTTGCACTAATGGCTTATTGAGTGGCCTCACTTTAACAAATGAGGGAAATGAAGATGAGTGAGAGTTTAATTACCGAGCTGAGCAGCTCTCCACAGCAAGGATGGGCCCTGCTTGCCTTGCCTGGCTCTGGGAGGGAGAGGGGTCCCCCCAGCATGGGGTTTTGGGGGTGCCTGTCAGCCCTGGAGGAGGGGGGTGCTGGGCCAGAGAGGGCTGGAGATGGGTCAGGTTCCAAAGAGCATCTCCATCCAAAGAGCAGGACTATAAATAATAAGAATAAAAGGGAGTATAAATAATTAAAGCAGCTCATAGCGAGTAGTTCCCGAAACGTCTGCCTGATTTAAAAACTAATTACTTGGAGGGTAATCACCACCAGAAGTGCACATATTTACCCACAATGCTGCTCTTCCCTCCTCTTCCTTTCGCTCCCTTCTCCTGATTGCTTTCCCAGGCACTGGCACAGACTTATCACTCACCCACAGTGCACAATAAATGGGCTTGTGCTCCTCCATCTCCCTGATTAATACCAGCAGTGCAGACCTGCTCGGGGAGGAATAAATCCTCTCTGGGTAGGAGGCCAGGTGCTGGCAGGAGGGGAAGCTGAGCTCTGTGCTACCTGCAGAGCCCAGGGGAGATGGGAGCCCCAAAGGGTGAAGCTGTGCTGCCAAAAACCAGGGCACCAGGAGCCCCGGGGGGACGTGGCATCCCCTGCTCGGTGTGGGATCTGCTCTGCTGGGCCATCACTCACCCTCTGGGGTGTGCATCAAACCCTGAATTCCCCGATGTGGGAGCTGTCCTCTGGGAAACCTCTGCCTTTGATGTGCTTGCTGGGCTGCAAGAGCAGGCAGAGCTGCAGAGCTGCAGCTTTAATCACAGGGAAGCTGCTGCACTGCAGCTGAAGGCTTGGGGGGGTTTGATCATCCTCCCTGTGCCTCCAGCAGAAAGGATTTGTCCCTCCAGCTCCTCCCTCACACAAGCTGCTGGTGCCAACCCTCCTGTTCCCTCTCACAAACCCTTTTTTCCAAACCCAATTTTGTAACTCTCTCACGCAGTTTTGTTTGTATTTATTTGCCTGAGCTTCTCTCTGGACCTTCACAAATTAATAAATAATTCTCACCATCAGCCTGATTTAGGAGCAGCATTGCACAGCGCTGCTTCATTTAGGAAAACAGAATAATTTACTCCTAACTTATGGGATTCAGGAGACTTCCACCCGCAGCCCATGATATTTTCTCATTAACATTACCCAGCTAAGCTAAAAACTGCAATTTCATAAGTCATACTTCCTTCAAAGGCACATTACCAGCTTTCCAGGGACTCCAGAAGTTTACTGGAGCTTAAAGACATACCTCATAGCATGCAGAAATGTGCCAAAGTCCCCCTTCTTATTACTACTGAAACCATCTTTCCTGCAAGTTCCCCTGCCCTGAACTCTTCCCATCAGGAGGATGTTTGAGTGATGCTGGGCAAAAGAACAGCACTGAGTTACTCTTTAACAAGAAGATAAAATGAAAATATTTAACTGGAAAACAAAATAAAAGTCCTTTATCCTCTGCTCTAACACATATCTGTAAATGAGATAAGCCAAAATATTCTTTTTTTGGTTGGTTTTTTTTTAGTTCTGGGTGTTGCCCACAGTGAAAATATGGGATGGAGGACTGGGATACAGGAGGATGGATGATTGTGTGAGAGCTCCTTGTCACAAAGGGCCACCAGGACCCAGGGCTGAGCAATTCTTTCCATCTGTGCACTTTGGTGGTTGCTTTGGTTTGGGTTTTTTTTCCTAAGTCACAGCTGACAGCTCTTGCTGGCAAAGTTTACAGACCCTGTTCTTTCAAAAGTAAGAACTGTCACCTTTGAACAAAGCCCTGAAAAGCTTTGCAGAGGACAAGGATGGGGAGGCAGCAGGAGCCTGGAGCCCCTGGGTACCCCCAGCCACCCCTCACTGCACCAGCCCTGTGGGCACCAGGGGACAGCCCCACCTCCAGCATTCCCCCTTGCCACCAGCCTCAGGAAAAAAAAAAAAAAAGTCAAGATTAAAATCATATTCCTAAAGCAAAATTACACATTGGAGACTCCAGGGCCCTCCCGGGAGGATCAGGGCACTCCTCTATAAATATCTGCCTCGGTGTGTTTAATTTGCAGATGGAATTAAGCCTGGGAAGAAAGGGAAGGGTGTCTTTTCATGTGTGGGCTGTCCAGCTTTGCCTAGAATATCAAAGTGAGGCACGTTACAAAGCAGCAGCTCCACGGGATTATCTGAGAAACCTTGTAGGTCCCAGGTGGCAGAGATTTTGGGATCAAAAGGTGTGGGACTTATGCAGAAAGGCAGGGAAAGCCAACCCCAAGGAGCCAAACCTCAGGTCAGCTGGCAGAGTTCAGAGATTTCCAAGGAAACAAGAAGGTGGGTGAGGAACCAGGAGAGGTTGGGCTTTCACGTGGACTTTGGATTAAATATTAACTCACTGCAGTGGGTTATGAGGATAAATATTTTCATTAATCATGTATGTGCTCATTATGAGGGTGAGAATAGACCGTTCAAGATTCATCTGCATGAGCTTTTCAGCTCCAGCCTCCCATTTTCTGCCTGTAGCTTTTGGTAAAACATCTCTTCTGCGCTTGCTTTCTTCAGAAAACTCTTCCCCCACAAACAGTTTTATTGGTTTCAACATTTTATTGGGTAGGCTTTGAGAGCACCAGATGAAAAGGTTTAGCTCGAGGGTGAATGGAGAGGAGAAAACACAGCTCTAGTTTAAACAGGGGAAGGGCAGTGGGGTGATGGTTTTGAAGTGGCCCATGGAGGTGGGAGCCTGGGCTGGGAAAACAGAGCTCAACTTCCAGGGAGCTGCTGCCATGAACCAGTGACACCCCACCATCCATTTCATTAAAAATCAGAATTTTTCCTGCTTTCCTCTGATTTTATTGAACTTTTCAATCATTATAACTTTCCTTCCTTTCTGTTTTTAGCAGCTCTTTTCAATTACTTGGTGCTTTCCTTTTTATTCCAGTAATTTTTTTTTTAAAGACTTGTCTAGCAGGAAGAGGGAAGACAGATTAAAATTTACACTGGAACAGAAAGTGAATATATGGCTGAGAGTCTAAGACCCTGTCATTAGCAATATTTAATAAGGAACAAAATTACTGGGCAAGCTGAGATATCTGCAAATTACTCCTGAAACTCTCCAGGATGGAAGGGACCTTCTCCAGCAGAGAGAGCTGACTGATGGATGAGCACACAAAGGATTTGGAAGGAGCATCT